TTGATGAGATACGTGTCACATTTGTTTTGGTCCTCGCAAGGTGAACAGGGATGGGGACTTAGAAAACTAAGGGTCGTTCTTCGCTCTCCTGTCCTGTATCTCCCTTATTTTTTATTTGCACACCTTTTGCCATGAAAATTGTCATAATTCTTGTCAAGGTTACCACTCCATATAATTTTTTTCTTGGTTTCTTGATTGCCAAGCGTTTGAGACAGTATATAGAAGCGAAGAGAAGCTCTGTGTTTTGTCATATAAAGGTATATGGTTTTTAGAGAGTAAATTATATGCTGAACTAAATATAGCATGTGATTGAGTGAAATCATATCCCCCATACATTTTGGGTTGCTTACCCTGGGGGTCCACTGGGTAGAGCGCTCTGGTTAGAGGATTTATAAAACAGTTTTAAAAAATCCATGAATATATAGATTATATTGTATTATGCCAATGGGGTCCAAGCATGCATATTATCACGGGGTCTAGTGGGGCAGAGCCTTGGCTACTGAGTATACAAATCATATTATGTTAAACCCACTGGCTAGACACAAACAATACTATGAGGTCCAGGGGCAGAGCCCTGTCTAGGGAATATATAGATTGTAGTGTATGTCATAAGGGTTAAGGTTAGGTTACTTTCTTGGCTAGGACATTGTATGATTACCAGGATAGATTATGCCTGAAGATGGGTTAGATTCCTGTAGAGTTTTTTTTAAGTTAGTGCAGTAGTTTGTCAAAGATGGCAGGCATATCTGTAGAGTTTTATTTTAAGTGTTTTGTGCTGAATCTATATATTTTTGTTCTAGATTCCCCTTATTTCAACCTGTAATACCCATTAATTTCCCTGATATACTTCGTGCCCACCCCTGCTATTGGGACTTATTATATCAAGATTGTCAGCTGTGATTATGATGGAAATGATCAGATATGTGCTCATCACTCAAGAATAAATCTGATGATATAAATATTGTCTGAAAAGGCCAGATTGTCATAATTGAAAAAGTAATTATTTGGGATACTTTAGTGTAACTGATCATGATGATTGTGGTCTTGATGGCATGGTTATGAAAGGTACCAGTGAAATCGTTGGGTAAAAAAAGGGTAGTTTTTAACAGTACAGATGCACTCATGTGACAAAGTTTCCAACTCCACATCATAGAACTTAATCAGCAATACAAGATGTTGAATAAGTTTATAAATGCACTTCCCCCAACCCTGCAATGCTGACAGAAAATTCTCCACATTCTTAGCAGGATAGAGCATACGACTGTACATGCAGGAGCATTCGATGCTGAATCTGTCTGCTCTTTTCTATTGTGCATATGTGGTGGATTTTTTGTTTTCTGGGGCAGGGGTTGGAGTAGCAACTGTACAGCTTTTTGCATTTGACAGTTTATGGACAAATTCTCTGTATATTTGTATTTTACCTCACAATTTCCTTGGTCCCATTCATGCTATCCCTGGGGGTCTGGGAGAGCATCCAATAGGGAAATAAGGCGATTAGATAGGGCTTTCACACTCGTTTCTTAGTGGAAATAATGCAAAAATCCTTTCCTATATGCTCACTAATTCCAATTACCCTCCAAGAGCTTTATTCAGTTGTGGCAAGTCCTTCCTGTTACCTCAGGCTTCTGCTGAAATTCTTATGACAGCCAGTTCCAGTCACCCTGATCCTCAGCCAAAGTTTCCCGTGGCTGCATGTTTATAGCATCCACCCCTCAAGCCAAATTTTTCATGTGATGGTCACATCTTCTGGATTGATCTTCTGGGCTTTGCTTTAAACCCTTTCCTGACGGGTCATGCTGTGAGACATCAAAATAAATTGCTCGATCTGTGGTGTGCAGCTGTACGCTGCAAAAGCACTACAAGCCGGTGATTCTGCTTGATGTACCAAACTTCCATGCTCAAAGTTGGCGTGTTGTTATTGATCTCCACGGCATTTTTAGTTTTCTTCACTTGTCATCAAGGGGTTAAAATCTTCTAGTCCTGAATCTGTTTATATACTGGGATAAAGTTACTCTTAGACTCATTATCTATTAACGAGGCAGAAGACGTCACTAAATTACTCGTGGAATGTTTTTTGTAGGAATTTTTTTTTTAGGTATTTTCCTTTGAAATTCTATCAAGAACTTGGTGAATGTTCTCAGAATTGCTCGGAATTTTCTCAAATATTTTAAGTATTTTGAAAAACAAAATGTAAAGAATATCTAGCTTAGTGGGTCAATATACCCACCCACTAGCAGTTATCATTACTTTTATTCTTTATTATTATTTCCATCTTCTTACCTAGCATTTACGCACTTAGCTTTGGCCTAGTTTGCAGTAAGTTAATGAATGAGGGAGGTTAATAAACATCATCAACTGTTTTGATTGATTAGAATTAGATACGTATTGTTCATGTTAGCGATGGATATGAACCTAAAACTTTTTGTACGTATATACATATATTGAAGTTAACCTCTTCACGACAGGTGATGCCGCTAGGCGTGAAAACAAACCGCTCAAAAACTGGCGTGTGGCTGTATGCAGCGGCAGCGAGCCAGTGATTCGGCCTGATGTACCGAACTCACATGCTCAAAGTCGGCATGCTACCATGGTTCGCTAGAGCGTAGAGGCTTTTTTTTTTTGTTTGTTTGTTTTCTTCACCCGTCACCATTGGGTTAATTTTCTCGTTTGAGTTTTATTTAATGTCGTATTGTAATTTTTAAAAGTTTTCTTTCTGATTAGTATAATAAGTGTTTATAGAAATATCTGTGTAAACTTTTGTAAACTAAGGATAAAAGTGTGAAATGTGAATAATGATACATCCACAAAATGCTGGAGATGAAAGAATGAAATGATGAATAACATGGTGACGAACAAAGGGGAACCCCTTAGTAGTGCTATTTATAGGGTTTGTCGTAGATCAGATAAACATTAGGCAGGTAAACTGTATGTAAAGTTGATGAGATGATGAATTTGATCATCCTTTTGAAAACCAACTAACCCATTTTCTGTGTAAATTATTGTATACCATGAGAATTACAAGTATACTGTTCATGTATTGTTATTGTTGATTTGTACAATCCCAAATGTAGCCAAAACTTGTTAATTTAATCCAGTGCTATTGGGAAAATGATTTCTCTAGTTATTTTCATGTGAAATTTATCTTCACATAGATGGCTCCACAAGTGAGCAACTAAGGAGTCAATTATTGGTCTATATGCTCTCCTTATTTTCCCCTGCCTTGGATTTCCAGATTTTTTTTTTTTTTTTCTAATGATATGAATATCAGTGCTGCTGCTGTTATTAGTGACCTAAAGATTATTTGAATATTGTTAGTAATACTAATAATGATAATATAAGATCAAGTAAAATATTTCCAAAAATCAAGGAAAAGGGTAAACAGGTGAAGTAGGGCAGACTAGTAATTGACTCATTGGTGACTAAGCACTTGTGGAGCCATCTATGTGTATATACAATGAATAAACTAAACACACTGTGGGCATGGTATATATGTACACACAATTGCTTAAAATTGGCCACCGAAACTGTTGATGTGTCTTACATCTGCAAAAGTACACTTTAATGCCAGAAGCTCCAACTTGAAAAACCTATGGGAATCCACCCCTTCTTTTGTTAAAACTTAAAGTAATACATGGCCATAAACCCCACCAAATCATGTATAATAAAAGTAAATATAAAGAGATTAGAATTACATAGTAGTAGTAATATAGCAGTCCAGGATCGGCTATCACATTTAACCTCTGACGTGTGTCTGGCCAATCCCTGCTGAGTGACACACTGACCAGCCAAGCTACCATAAGCATTCAGGTTTATAAGCTGCAGGACTTGGAGCTGATTCACCATTCACCACTCGTCTGTTGACCTGACAGCACGCTTGTACTCAGTTGCTCATTAAATAAAGAGATGAAACCAGACAAGAGCTATGTTGTGATAAAGACTACTGCTGAAATAATCTGGAGGTGCATGTGATCCTATTTTTTTTTTCTAGTTTGTCTTTTTTTTTTAAATTTCTGTTTGACCCTCTTTACAACATCAGCCATATTTTCTTACAAGCATTTTCTACATTATTGTTTAGGTGTTTATAATAAATCATAAGCCTACTTAAAAAAGAAAGCACACAAGTTCCTTGCAGAGCCAGTTGGAATATACCTTTTGAAAGACCCTACTTTGGTAGTGGTGATAACTTTGCTATTCAGAATTTTGGCAGGTCTTGTCAGGGTAAAATTTCAACTTAGGTTATATTGTGCAAGGTAAACAGTAGCCATAAGGATTCCACAAATCTTTGAACTTTTGAATTTAATGCAGTTTTCAGTTGTGGCATAATTGTCACAAATAGATAACATAATAAGTAGACCTAACATTAGGTGCTGCAAAAGTCACCTTGGCATGGGTGCTTAGTTTCTGTAGTGTTTAATTTCTAGTTTTATATTTCATAAAAAAAGCCTGTGTGGATAATAAACTATACAAAAAAGATAAAGGATGAGAAATTATAATGGTTCTTTCCAGTGTAGCATTACTACATATGCTTTTGTTTGCACAATTGTTATGAGGTATAGGGTGGGTGAAAGTACTTATCATGATTGAAATAATCCTAAAGAAATTATCTTATATTATTTACTTCGCTCCAACCTGAAATGCGTGCAGCTTTGAATGAAAGTAGTAGCTATCAGTTAACAGTGCAATGTTATAGACATTCTTTAATTTTTTCATTATTGTTTCATTCTAGGTGAGCGAGAGGAGAGAAAGAGAAGAAGGAAATCACGCTGGCAGGGAGATGAGAAGGACAAAACATTCATTCCAGGCATGCCAACTGTGCTCCCCAGCAATATGTCGAAGGATCAGGAGGAAGCATATTTACGTAAGTCACTGCGCTTTGTTCCCCGGAGTGAAAAGTAAAGGGGATTTTACAGAAGGTTTTGGCGGTAACGATTTTTTGCCAGATGTGGTTGCACAGGTCTCTGCAACTTGGAAATCATCAGGAACTTCCTGTTCAGCGTCGCATCAGCTGAAGTTGTGGTGGAGTTCCTAGAGGCCCTCGTCTAGAGCAGCCATAGTTCTGAGAAAAGGATCTCTCAGCTGCCAACTACTGTACTCAAGCAGATGCCGAGGTGATGGTATCACACCATTCTCGCCTTCTACATTTATGCAAAATGAGCCAAACCCTTATGTGTTTCTGTTGCTGAGTGATCTAAGTTTGTTTGCAGTTGTGCGAAAGTCTTGAGTGCATGTGATAGTCAGATGGATCTCTGATTGCAGTGAGTGGATGAAATGATTAACCCTGATGAATATTGTAGCTATGGGTAAGTTAACTTTCAATGTTATAATGAATATATTTGTTTACAGCCTAACAAACTTAACTAATAAATAGTTCTTTCCCTGAAGTATTACCATCGTGTTCATTTCCAGGTTAATTCAAGATTAAAGAAAGTATTTATATTTTGAAAGGTATAAGCAACGAGACTCAGCTTTCAAATCATGAGATGCAATTAGTAATGTTAGTTTTAATAACAATGAATGACATCGATGGGTGACAGTATCAGTTGACTTGTTACTCATACTTTTGAAGGAAAAGTTAACCATGAAAATCCTTCCTCATTTGTTATATTAAAGTACACTGTATTGATTGAATTTTGGGCATTTTTGCCCGCTAACCCGCTCTATTACAGTGCAGCTGCAGATTGAAGAATTAAGTCGCCGTCTTCGCTCCAACGATCTGGGCATCTCACCTAATCCTGAAGACAGGTTGGCACTTCTCTCCTAGTTAACTCCCGTCCAGGTGAACTGGAGCCACCCCATTGGCTTGTGGCGCCCTGTCTCCTGTTCCCCCGTGGCCACACCACTGGGCCAGGGTCAGGCTGGGCAGCACCAGGTTTTACACACAGTACCTATTAAAGTATCCTTCAGGTCTTTCTGTCTCTTGTGTCCTATATAACACTTGCCATCCCTTAGTTTAGCATGTTATCATGCTCATGGATGGCTATATGATGGGTTACCAGGGAAGGTAGGAACTTAAGTTAGTTGGAGACATTGTCCAGGTATGTACCTTTTTCTTCTTGAGTGGCATGAAATAGGTTTGAGACTAGGGTTGTATCCACTTGAAAATACATTGAATCATGTGGTGGACAACATGAAAGAATTCAGTTGTCATCCTTTGGTGACCTGTAGTTCTTCCATTTATAGAACAAAGATATTACTTGATTCCTCAAAGTAGAGTTAAAATAGTATGGGTATTATGTGCACTATGTCTCCCTCAGTATAAGCCCTTCAGTCTCAATATCAGCATGTACATAACTTGCCTGATGTTTCTAGATGCTCTTTGTTAATGAGAGCAACAGATGCTACACATTCTTTTTATATATACAGAGCATACTTTTTGTTTTGTTTTATTTATCATTCAAATTTACTCTTTCATTGTTAACCTTATTTTATCCTATTTAGTTTTAACCATGAATCTTCCATACACTAAGGAGAAGCAGGGTAAAAGTTTTATTTGATTTATTTTATTATACTTTTTATTATTGCTCTTACGATTTAAAGTTTTACAAGCTCCGAGAAGGATGTTTTATATTTTGCTGTCTTCATTTGGTAGTAATATATTTTTGCTGCCAGTTGTTGAGATCAACAGATAATATTTTTATTTTTTACTTTGTGGTAGATGGTCGGGTCTTTTAGAATATGATGTAGCAGGAGGCAGACACTGCAATGCTTCAGTGATAATTTATATAATCTGTTGTTGCTTAACACACTGTCTGCTGTTTTGGTAATTCTGCAAAGGCTCACCCACATGTACTCCTTTCTTAGTTATGCAAAGTTTATTGCAGATTTCCAACCTGCAAAACTTCCAGGACACTAACCCCAACTTCTGGATGTTGACCCCCCTTTTGAACAGGTCATGCTATCAGATCACCTCCTGTCTTAATACTTGATAATGATTTTATCTTGTTGATGCAGGCACCAATGTGATTAATGACAGTTTTACCATTCATGCAGGCTGTTATTAATTAAATTATTTTACCATTTAATGCAGGCTCTCTCCATCTAATCCAGGAATATAAAGAGAGAGATTTTTTTAATGAATCCTTTATCCCTGTGGACCCTGGGATAAAACTTGTAGATATAATCCTTCTTGGTTGGTGCATAGATGAATGTGGGTCTTCATCATTTCGTTGTAATGATCTGCTTTATAGGTCAAATGCACAGCTGGAATACAGGTGCTTAGCATACAGTTGCATGGAGTGTCCATGAATACATCTCTCCCATTTGGGTGAATGTGCTATTTTGATAGGCAGTCTTTAATTACATCTTCCCCTCAGGTTTTATATTATCAGTAGGAAGTTTTATATTGAAGCCTTTTATGACTGTTCACTAAGGGATTTTGATATATAAGGGAAAATAAACAAAGTATTTGTTATAATCTTTGCTGGTCTTTTCCCATAGTCTTTAAAGTCTGTTCTTGCAAGATCCCTTCCTAGTTGTATCTTCAATTCTTGTCTGTCTTTCCTTTTTAATATGCTTTCTTTTCCCATGTTTGAAATTTTGTTTTACCTTTTGTATTCATCTTTAAGCATTTTTGTTTAGACTGAATGCAAAATTTTAATGAGCTGTTACTCTGAACTTCCTTTTCTTATATTTGATTGTGGTATTGAAACTTTCACTCGTACTCTAGTTGTCATTGGCTAGTAGAATTAATTGAACCACTTGCTGGCTTTTGCAGTTCTTTAGATGTTTACCATATTAAATTGTATCTAATTTGGAAGATAAAATGAAATATTTATAGAGAACAGGGTCAAGTGTGAGGTGCTTTAAGAAAGATGTTAAATTATATGTAAGTGATTGATGTAGTATCATGTTCCAATCCTTTGTTCCTACATTTGATAATCTTTACATCCTTAACTCTTTCTACCTTGATATTAAATGTTACAGTATAATGTTAATATATATATATATAATTTTTTAATCACTTCTCCCTCTCTTGTATTTTCCTCTGCCTATGCCCTCTCCCTCCCCTTCCTACTCTTCCTCCTCTCTCCCTCCCTTCCCCTGCTCTCCCTCCTCTCTCCCTCCCTTCCTCTGCTCTCCCTCCCTTCCTCTGCTCTCCCTCCCTTCCTCTGCTCTCCCTCCTCTCTCCCTTCCTTCCTCTGCTCTCCCTCCTCTCTCCCTCCCTTCCTCTGCTCTCCCTCCTCTCTCCCTCCCTTCCTCTGCTCTCCCTCCTCTCTCCCTCTCCCTTCCCCTGCTCTCCATCCTCTCTCCCTCTCCCTTCCTCCGTCTCCCTCTCCCTCCTCTCTCCCTCTCCCTTCCTCTGTCTTCCTCTCCCTCTCCCTTCCTCTTGTCTTCCTCTCCCTCTCCCTTCCTCTGTCTTCCTCTCCCTCTCCCTTCCTCTGTCTTCCTCTCCCTCTCCCTCTCCCTCTCCCTTTACCTTCCTCCGTCTTCCTCTCCCTCTCCCTCTCCCTCTCCCTTCCTCCGTCTCCCTCTCCCTTCCTCCGTCTCCCTCTCCCTCTCCCTTCCTCCGTCTCCATCTCCCTCTCCCTTCCTCCTCTCTGATCTCCCTCCTCTCTCCCTCCCTTCCTCTGATCTCCCTCCTCTCTCCCTCCCTTCCTCTGATCTCCCTCCTCTCTCCCTCCCTTCCTCTGATCTCCCTCCTCTCTCCCTCCCTTCCTCTGATCTCCCTCCTCTCTCCCTCCCTTCCTCTGATCTCCCTCCTCTCTCCCTCCCTTCCTCTGATCTCCCTCCTCTCTCCCTCCCTTCCTCTGATCTCCCTCCTCTCTCCCTCCCTTCCTCTGATCTCCCTCCTCTCTCCCTCCCTTCCTCTGATCTCCCTCCTCTCTCCCTCCCTTCCTCTGATCTCCCTCCTCTCTCCCTCCCTTCCTCTGATCTCCCTCCTCTCTCCCTCCCTTCCTCTGATCTCCCTCCTCTCTCCCTCCCTTCCTCTGATCTCCCTCCTCTCTCCCTCCCTTCCTCTGATCTCCCTCCTCTCTCCCTCCCTTCCTCTGATCTCCCTCCTCTCTCCCTCCCTTCCTCTGATCTCCCTCCTCTCTCCCTCCCTTCCTCTGATCTCCCTCCTCTCTCCCTCCCTCCCTCTGCTCTCCCTCCTCTCTCCCTCCCTTCCTCTGCTCTCCCTCCTCTCTCCCTCCCTTCCTCTGCTCTCCCTCCTCTCTCCCTCCCTCCCTCTGCTCTCCCTCCTCTCTCCCTTCCTTCCTCTGCTCTCCCTCCTCTCTCTCCTCCCTCTGCTCTCCCTCCTCTTTCCCTCCCTTCCCCTGCTCTCCCTCCTCTCTCCCTCCCTCTGCTCTCCCTCCTCTCTCCCTCCCTCCTCTGCTCTCCCTCCTCTCTCCCTCCCTTCCTCTGCTCTCCCTCCTCTCTCCCTCCCTCTGCTCTCCCTCCTCTCTCCCTCCCTTCCTCTGCTCTCCCTCCTCTCTCCCTCCCTTCCTCTGCTCTCCCTCCTCTCTCCCTCCCTCCCTCTGCTCTCCCTCCTCTCTCCCTCCCTTCCTCTGCTCTCCCTCCTCTCTCCTCTCCCTCTGCTCTCCCTCCTCTTCCTCCTTCCCTGCTCTCCCTCCTCTCTCCTCCCTCGCTCTCCCTCCTCTCTTCCTACCCTTCTCTGCTCTCCTCCTCTCTCTTCCTTCCCCTGCTCTCCCTCCTCTCTCTCCCTTCCCCTGCTCTCCTACTCTCCGCTCTCCCTTCCCCCTGCGCTCATCCTCTCTCCCTCCTGCTCTCCTTCCGTTTCGCTTCTCCCCTCTCCTTACTCAGTCTACCTCTCCCTCGCCCTCCCTCCTCCTTCCTCTCCCTCTCCTCTCCCTTCTCCTTCCTCCTTCTACTTATCCTTTCCTCCCTCTCCCTCTCCTTTCCTTTCCTCCTCTCCCTCTCCCTCCTTTTCCTCCCTCTCCCTCTCCTTTCCTCCCTCTCCCTCTCCTTCCTCCCTCTCCCTCTCCTTTCCTCCTCTCCCTCTTCCTTTCCTCCCTCTCCTGTCTCTTTCCTCCCTCTCCCTCTCCTTTCCTCCCTTCCCTATCCTTTCCTCCCTCTCCCTCTCCTTCTCCCTCTCCACATCCTCCTTCCCCCGATATCTTCTCCCTCTCTCTCTCCCTTCCCTGCTCTCCCTCCTCTCTCTCTCCCTTTCCCCTGCTCTCCCTCCTCTCTCCCTTCCTGCTCTCCTTCCGTTTCCCCCGCTCTCCCTCTCCCTTCGCTCCGTCTACCTCTCCCTCTCCCTCCCTCCCCTCCTCCTCTCCTCTCCCTCTCCCTCTCCTCTCCTCTCCTTCTCCTTCTCCTTTCCTCCCTCTCCCTCTCCTTCTCCTTTCCTCCCTCTCCCTCTCCCTCTCCTTTCTCTCCCTCTCCCTCTCCTTTCCTCCCTCTCCCTCTCCTTTCCTCCCTCTCCTCTCCTTTCCTCCCTCTCCCTCTCCTTTCCTCCCTCTCCCTCTCCTTTCCTCCCTCTCCCTCTCCTTTCCTCCCTCTCCCTCTCCTTTCCTCCCTCTCCCTCTCCTTTCCTCCCTCTCCCTCTCCTTTCCTCCCTCTCTCTCTCCTTTCCTCCCTCTCTCTCTCCTTTCCTCCCTCTCTCTCTCCTTTCCTCCCTCTCTCTCTCCTTTCCTCCCTCTCTCTCTCCTTTCCTCCCTCTCTCTCTCCTTTCCTCCCTCTCTCTCTCCTTTCCTCCCTCTCTCTCTCCCTTCCTCCCTCTCTCTCTCCCTTCCTCCCTCTCCCTTCCTTCCTCTCCCTCTCTCTCTCCTTTCCTCCCTCTCTCTCTCCCTTCCTCCCTCTCT